GCCAATGGCAGCAAGCAGACAGATACACAGCCCTGCTGAGTATGAACATGAGGGGGTGGGGGTGATGATAATTTGACTTTTGCATAGCAAAGCTATAGCACACTTTTGTGTATTCCTTCCCATCTTACAATTATATCACCTCTTCCTCCTGTGCTGCCTGACATATGGTTAGATGGGGCAGACAATATTACAATTAACACTTTCATTCCTGGAATATAAAATTGCAAGATTTAGGCAGAGTTACCATTTGCTCTTTGCATTATATATAATTTAGTGTCTGTCTGTCATATATTATTATTATTATTATTAGTAGTAGTAGTAGTAGTAGTATTTAAACACAGCACTTTACAATCTTATGAAAGAGGGAAATGTAACAATAAATGAGACAATTATGAGAAAATGTTACAGGAGCAATAGATAGATGAGGACACTGTTCAAACAAGCTTACAGTCTAGCCCAGGGGTCCTCAAACTACGGTCCGCGGGCTGATTCCGGCCCGCCATGCTCCTGAACCCGTCCCAAGCATTTAGGGCCACCCGATGAGCCCTAAATCTTCAGGGGCCCCTTTAAAAAATTGCAGCCGCAAAGTAGTGCTGTGAGGAATTGACAGCCGATGGTCAATTCCTCTCAGATCCCTCCGCGCGGGAGGGAAGAAAGACAGGCCGCGAGGGCAGGAGAGCCACGCCGACTCCCATCAGCCACAGCCACCCTGCTGCAAAAAAAGTAAGAAAAATTAGCTCTGTGTGTGTATGTATTTATGTATGTCAGTATGTGTCTATATGTATGTATGTCAGTATGTGTGTATGTATGTCTGTGTGTGTATGTATCTCTGTGTCTATCTGTATGTATGTCAGCATATGTGTATGTATGTCTGTGTGTGGGTGTATGCAGGGGTCAAGTCCTGTGGAAAAAAGTGTGGGAACTCACCCAAGATTCCCGCCTCACCCCCCCCCCCTTAAAAAAAAAAAAAAAATTACATTCCTATGCATATAGTGCAGTGCAGGGTGTGTATAATGAATGTAGTGTGTTTGTAGTGAATGCAGAGTATGAATAATAAATGTAGTGTGTTTGTAGTGAGTGCAGTGTGAATAATAATTGTAGTGTATTTGTAGTGAGTGCAGAGTGTGTATAATGAATGCAGTGTGTTTTTAGTGAGTGCAGGTGTGTATAATGAATGTAGTGTATTTGTAGTGAGTGCAGTGTGTATAATGAATGTAGTGTATTTGTAGTGAGTGCAGAGTGTGTATAATGAATGTAGTGTATTTGTAGTGAGTGCAGTGTGTATAATAAATGTAGTGTGTTTGTAGTGAGTGCAGTGTGTATAATAAATGTAGTGTGTTTGTAGTGAGTGCAGTGTGTATAGCGAATGCAGTGTGTTTTTAGTGAGTGCAGAGTGTGTATAATGAATGCAGTGTGTTTTTAGTGAGTGCAGAGTGTGTATAATGAATGCAGTGTTTTTAGTGAGTGCAGAGTGTGTATAATGAATGTAGTGTATTTGTAGTGAGTGCAGTGTGTATAATAAATGTAGTGTGTTTGTAGTGAGTGGAGTGTGTATAATGTAGTGTGTTGGTAGTGAGTGCAGTGTGTATAGCGAATGCAGTGTTTTTGTAGTGAGTGCAGAGTGTGTATAATGAATGCAGAGTGTGTATAGTGAATGTAGTGTGTTTGTAGTGAGTGCAGAGTGTGTATAATGAATGTAGTGTGTTTGTAGTAAGTGCAAATTGTGTCTAATGAATTTAGTGTTTGTATTGAGTGCAGAGTGTGTACAATGAATGCAGTGTATGTAGTGTGTTTGTAGTGAATGCAGAGTGTGTATAGTGAATGTAGTGTGTAGTGAGTGCAGAATGTGTATAATGAATGCAGAGTGTGTATAGTGAATGTAGTATGTTTGTAGTGAGTGTATAGTTAATGTAGTGTGTTTGTAGTAAGTGAAGAGTGTGTATAATGAA